TCATGTTTTTAACTTTCCGTGACGCATAACACATCATTTCGATGCATTTCTACTACCCGCCATTGTGATAGGCAAAATATTTGCCTTACTTTTTTATCTCTGCCATTCCATGTGCCATAAAATGATGAACATGTGCTCATATCGCAATAGGTGTCCACCCCACTTTTGAAAATTTAAAAAGCGATTAAGAACATATCAAGCACCCAGGCCAGTAAACTTCTGAATGTATTGAATGAAACAAGGTGCTCCTCCGCATCAACCACATCTCCCAGTGCGCTGGTGCAGAGCGGTGAAGCTTTCCATGCTCACTCCAGTAAGAAGCAATGAAGCTTCACATGAGAATGCCAGCACAAAGCTGGCTGGATGCAAGCGGTGCAACTGCTTTAAGAAAATAGGGGTCCCACCAGACTACAACACTGCTCCTGCACTGTTCTGACTTTCAGCGCTGGAACCTGCAAAGTGCCCATCCCATATTTTTTACAATTATCTCCAACCATTTGATGAGCGCTTTCTCAATATTTTACGGCACATAGCTTCTGGTAGGAATGCCAGTTTCTTTGTCTTAAACACCAGCTGGTGGAGTACCTGCGAAACTCTTGAAAACCCATTGACAAACTTGGGGATTATGATTCTAACCCATTGTTCATAAAGCGATTGTGGTAAGATTTGTTTGTTATGCCAAGAGCACAATAACACTGATCTTGGGAAGCTGTTTTTAACCACATTTTGATATACATGCATAACATGCCATTTACTGCAAAATTAACAGGACACCTGAGCATGGTAAGTTATCTTGAGTATTTATCATTCTTCTGTTCTTTTTGGGATGAGTTTTGAGTGGAATCCCCTTGCTTGAATGGGAACAATATAAGGCTTAAAATTTCACTGTTAATTATTTTTCAGTAATTTTTAATACATTTTAAATAAACTTTTTATTACTAATGAAAGACACAGGACTTGTTTATACTAACACTTCTTTTTACTGTAGGCTGCAAGTCTGCAAGCAAATATCAAAACTTGCCAATTTTAAATTAAGGAGTGCACAAATCATTCTTCTCTAAGAAGCTTAAAGGCTTTACTGAAGATTGGTACTCGGATAACTGACACTGCCTCACACTCTTTATAATAAAATGTCATGCTTTTGCTTTAACATTTGTGGTACACTGTTTCCCCTCTAATGTGTGGTACATGCCTTAACGCTTTCTGTAACTCTAATGGGATGTCTGGATCACCAAGTGGAGAAAGGTAATGTACTCCAAAATTTATGAAGGGGCAATAGGCTCTCAGGATTTATTGTTAAAGGTTTGCCGTTTGTCACCAGATTTAAAAAAAAAAAAAAAAAGTGTGCACAAGAAGTTGCGCCTATAATGGTAGAAGAGTGGCGTAGTAATTCCGTAAGCACAATAATTAGGAGGTGCATCCACCAAGGACACGCTGTCGTTATAATTGAGCATCCAAAACAACAATGTTATTCTTCTATGTATCATCATTGGTGCAATTTCCTGCACTCTTTCCAGTGCGCCATTTGACCATTAACCAACAAAGTTGCTCTGCTCTCTCTGAAAGCATATTTTATACCTTTTGTGAGTGACTCTCGAAATAAATTTGCATACTGGTAGCTGTGTGTGTTTCTTTTTATGTACCACCACATTATAATTCGTTGGGAGTAGTTTATAATAGACTCCGTGACTAATGAAAGAGAAGTTTAGGCATACTAAGATGTGATTCTCGGTATAGTGGGCATACCTCTGTAATGCAGATTTTTTTTTTGTTAAAGCCAGGAGTGCAAGTTTTATGGAGGTGCTAATAAAACATTTGGCACGATGCATGTGTTGCTGAAAAATTATTGGCCCATTCACCTCGTTTGGACAAAAGGTAAATAAAAAATAATCACACTGACGCACTGCCAGCACATCGAAGCAAAAGTTTTGCAGCAGGTGAGTAAGGCACAGGCACAAAAAAGGTACGTGGACACAAAACTTTGTGCACATGCCTGTGTGCCCAAACATAACTTTACATTTTAGCTCTGACATGGAAGGATTTATGCTCCACTCATGTAAAAAGGTACTTCGCCAATTGTCTTTTTACTTGATTGCAAACAATGAGCTACAACAGCCTTTTTTTAGAAAAAATCTGAAGGGTGCAGGCGAGCTGGTGAATATTAACCATGTTGAATTAACCCGAGACTGGGGTAGAGAAGAAACATCAAAACGTAGAAGGGACAGAAAATAGACAGGACGACGTCTCAAACTCAGCTAACTCGTTTATTTAGTCCACCTCCTAATATAGTCTCAATCTCAAAGTCATCTCCACCAACACGAAAGGACGAAGCCTATACAGATCAAGCGCCACAGCCTTCATCACACAATGCAAGAATGTTGACAACGTTTACAGGTCGACGCGATAAGGCAACATCCATCCACCCTCAAACTTGAACAGAAGTATGAACTGTGTATAGAATAGTAGTAGTGGAAGAGATCCTTTTGTTCAAGTTTGAGAGTGGATGGATGTTGCCTTATCGCTTTGACCTGTAAACGTTGTCAACGTTCTTGCATTGTGCGATGAAGGCTGTGGCGCTTGATCTGTATAGATTTCGTCCTTTTGTGTTGGTGGAGATAACCTTGAGATTGAGACTATATAAGGAGGTGGACTAAATAAATAAGTTACGTGAGTTTGAGACGTCGTCCTGTCTATTTTCTGTCCCTTCTACGTCTTGATGTTTCTTCTCTACCCGTCTCAGGTTAATTAAACATAGCCTTTTTTTGCTTCTTTGCCACATATCTTCCTGTTTTTGAAGTTATGGTTAAGAGTAGGACTGGAATACGAAGTTTCAGTCCCAAACTCTCTACTCTGGAGATCGCTTGTGAAAATCGCAACAGTACCAAAAAGCCAGATTGAGTGGTGTAGCTCGTAGAGCCTGGGATGGTACTCATTTGACCGCATAGGCAACTGCAGACAAGAAATACACCCAACTAAATGTGATGGGACTGTTTTTATTACAGCAACAAAGTGAGATACATTTTCCAGTGCTCGCTTCACCTATAGACCGACACGCTGTTTACAAACAAGCCCGCGTTTGCCCACACCAGGTGTGGGCACTGCGCATGCGCAGAAACCGAATTCGAGTGAACTGAAGCGTCTGCGCATGCGCAGTGCCGTCGACAGCGCCACCGCTGCTGCGTGACGTCAGGGACGCGTGTTGGTCTATAAGTATAAGTAATTTTTGAAATTTGTAAGTAGCAACAATAATATGTATCTTATCCCATTAAATAAACTTTCCGGCGTAAACCGGAAAGACTTAATAGAATACCAACGGATAAGAGATGGCGCTGAAATAGCTAACCGGAAGGCGCTCGAAGTGTCCAGCGCTTTCCGGTTTGCTATTTTAGCGCCATCTCTTATCCGTTCCTTATCCATGATGCAATATTTGTGTGGCTTTTGAGTTGTAAAGCTAGAAAGATGGCCAAATTGACGCTAACGCGGTTGCTATAAATGGGGCGTGCCCATACCCACTCTTCACCATTTCATTAGTATTAAAAAAAGCGTGAAAATGCTACGGGGTGGTCAGGAAAAGACAAATTGACAGCACAGAGGTGGACGGTAGTTTTGAAGGGAAAATTCGTAATACATTTTCGTAGAACCGACCCAAAAATGCCCATGGGCCCGAGCGATCGAGGTGCGCCAACAACGTGCTTCGCTGTGCCTGTTTCAACAGCCGGTGTATAGCGTCTCCGTCTACGCGACGTAAAGGAAGCAACCAGAGCGACTTTGCAAACAGATCAGCCAACAACCTTAACAGTAACATGATATAGGAAGCAGGACGCGGCAGAACATGAACCTGTGAGGCGCCAATTGATCCGCTGCCGTGGAAGGCCGCACAACGCGTAGGAAATAAAGATCCATAAAAAAAAAAAAAGAGAGAAAGAATTGCGATTGAATGAGATTGTCTGTAACTTAATTTATAAGACAATGGTTTGGAGAATCGTGGAATCCAATTTAGGTATGCTCATTGGACCTGCACAAATGATGGTGCAGAAAGAACAAGTACCAACTACATGAGCTGCAGAGCCACAAATACACGTCAGCGAGGTGTATTTTTTCCGCAATTTGACATGGCACCAGTGCCAGTGATTAAATCTAGGGTCGTGTCAAGCTCCAGACAACGTTGTACAGCCTCCGACGGCCCACCAAGTCATGATCAAGTCGGCGTCAGAGATGGTTGCCCCACTGAACACTAAACTGACTAAACAGCCGAACCACGGCCGAACGTGAAACTAATCGAAAGCAAAGGACTGGGACGTTGTGCGTAGAATTCAGCCCTGTCACTTTTTCGCAAAGACAATTTTTTTTCCGAAAACAAGGATTGGTTTTATTCTTCTGGCCATAAAGCCAGCAAAATAATTTTTTTTTCATCAAAATTAAAAATGGCCACTGGACATGGTTGTTCGATCTTACCTGAAAACGCACTGCCGCGTACCGTTCTGCAAGTGAGAACGGGGCAAGGAAGTGGGAGTCAGCTTTTATGAATTTCCCACCACAAGGATCAGGGACGAGTGGATAAAGGCCGTCAGTAGCAAAGGTAATTATTATTCACTTTGAGTAGTTCACTAGACAACACTTATTTTCCAATCAAGTTAACATAAAAGCACGCTTAGAACTAACCTTGCTTCACAAAATTTATGCTGAAAATTCATCAACCCCTCAGTACCATAAACCCTCGAGTTCTTAGGAAATTTCAAGTGATCTCCAATAGGTGAACGAAAATGTACATTAAATCGCACGTTGCCTCTTTTAGGGGTCTCTGATGGAAAGACTCTCAGTTCAGGAAATTTTTATCAAAAGAATGAGGCGGAAGTAAGTCGTTCATCGACAATTTGCGGCCGCGCGGAGAGCTCAGCCTTCGTTCTGCTCCCGAATTCTACAGCTGAGCTGTGGCGCCATCTAGTAGAGTGGCGCGAAACTAGGCGTGCCGCATCCGGGGACAGCGCTCCCCGTAGGCGCGCTCCGGGTGAAGTGGTCGGAAGTAATAGAGTTGGTCGTGGTGCGGCCGTGCGGCTGCGGCATCGGCGGCACGTCATCGAAACGAAACTTGTGCGGCTGGCAGTTGGTGCAACAGTGGACAGTGCGGCGAAGATGAATCGCTCAGCCTAGAACAGGAATCATCACATCGACGGGTGCTTTGTTTTGACGTTGGTCTTGCTCTGCACGGATCGTGTCTTTTCTTAGTCTACATTCAGCATCGTTTACAAGGCTCGGCAAGGCTGGCGTGGGTTCCGCAGTGCTATGGCAGCAACGGTAGGAAGACTACCATTTATTTCGCCTCCCTTTTTCTCTCTATTCCTTACGTATCCTTTCTCTCGCCAGGGAACCAGCGTCGTGCTGAGGAGTTACGGAAGCAATTTCTCTTGAGGCTTGCATCACCGGCCGCGCGGCCGATTGCACCCGCACAACCCGGTACGTATGGGAAACACGGTATGTAAACTAAAGCACTGCTCGGGCCTATTTTTTGAGGCCCGGCCGGGCCCTGGCCCGCTGACTCTCGACCCGGCCCGATGGGATGCTTACTTAGTCAGGCCCGGCCCTGCCTGCCTGATCAGGCCCGGCCCGGTGTGAGCTAGGCCAATTTTGGCTAGGCCAAGGTGTGCCCCATCTCTTAAATGCAAAGGTGCCCTGCGGAGGTGTTAGGGCAGTTAATTACTAATTTTCATGAAAGACGCTGTCATATCGCAGACACGTGGTGAACATTCGAAAGTTTACACACATATAAAGACATATCTTTAATAGCAAGATGCAGTTTTTTTGTTTTTTTTGTCGTTTTTTTTTCTTCAAAAGTTGAAAAGAAAGGGCAAGACAATCGTGCTGTCCCCTGTGACTGCAGATTGCCCTCGTTTTCTTGCCTGCTGGTGGTTGTCCCACTATGCTGATGGAATCCCCATAATTCTATCTTTTTGCGGGCTTGGGCCAAAACAGCTTTGCTTATTTCAAAGATTATTTTAGTGGCATTGTAGCAAGATGGCCCTTCCGTTTTTTCTCTCTTTAAAATCTAAATTATCAGTGCGCTAGCATTTTCTTAATGTTTTAGAAAGTATGCTACACCATTGCGCGAGCCCGGCCTGCGCCCGGAAAGAATTCGTGCTACCCTGGCCGGGCCCAGGCTTTCGGGTTGGCCCGGGCCCTTGCAGAGCTAACGTACACTCTTTGTTGTTGATGTGCCTACCGATGTACAGTCGGGGACAAAAGTCTCCAGGATGCGCGAGCTGTGACTGAAACGAATTGCTCTACCATCTGGCGGCGGGTCGCCTGGTTTCGAGATCACACAAAAGCGCATGCGTGTCCTACTGTGCCTTCAAACGTGTGTTTTCCTGCTCTTGTGCGGCACAACGCCTAACTTGCAATCGGGCGCGTGGTATTGCCTCTAAGATTGCGCTTGCGGCTGACCAGGGCCTGCTACGCATTTCGAAACTGGAGATACTGCCTGCAGCATTGCGCCGTATTTCGCCGTGTCAGCGCACTTTGGTTTATATATAAACCGCTAAGCTGAGCTGCCGTGACTTCTTGCTTTATAGGTGCCATGTCAGTAAGCGCGGCCGAATCCGAGTTTGGCGCCACGCCGCAGAAGAGCGGGAAAACGCATGTTTGCAGGCACAGTAGGACACTCATGCGCTTTTGTGTGATCTCGAAACCAGGCGGCCCGCCGGCAGATGGCAGAGCAATGCGTTTCAATTGCAGCTCGTGCGTCCTGGGGACTTTTGTCCCCAACTGTAGCTTCAGCGTATGCACTATTCCACGTAACATGATGTATGGAAACCTGAGATGGCGCTAGGAGAGAGGAAACTCAAAAGTAGAAGGTGCACAGAACGAAGATACACAGATGCGTAAAACAGCAGTTAAGCCGTCGCTGGTTTTGTCTAATCTCCAATAATTGAAGTGTTTTACAGGGGGAAAGTGGGCCAAATTAGGTCTACTGCACATGTGAAAGGGGGCGAAAAGCTGGAAGAGTAGGTTGGTGACGTTTTGCGCTTAGCTCTGCCCCGGCACATGCCGATAAATGGTCAGGACTAAACAGCAGGCTCGTTTGATTTACCTGCAACGGTGCAGAAAACCAGCGCGGTGTACTTCTGGTGTAGTACAGCAAGTATGTCGCCCTACACTTTTCTGCACTGGTGCAGGAGGGGCAAGCAAATGAACAAGCCTAACATCTAGGCATAACTAATGGCAGTCATGCTAATGCGGCATCCGTGAGTTTTTTTATTGCTGTTTTTGTCGTGCTGGGTACTTGCCGAGTTCAGAAAAATTATACTTTTGTGACTAGTATCCTTCTCAATCGAAGGGCAATGAAAGCAGGCTCCTTTTTTGGATGCACTGCGTGCTTAAATGACGGCGTGTTGCTGTTCAAATTTCTGAAGGATGCCAAACTGCAAAAGATGTGGATCCGGCTAATAAACGGGGATAATTGAAAACCATTCCTCCATCGTCTGCTCGAGACATTTTGAAGATTGTTAGATCAAGACGACAAGAAGGCTTTTCTAAAAAGAGGGAGCACTTGTCCATTGTTGCAACTCAGGGGTTCTTCTGTGGCTACCAGCCACAAAAAAGCGCCTGCCAATCGTACCGGTAAATTCCATTTGTTCAGCTTGCCTTACCTTTAAAGACTTAATCAACTCTTCCCTCTATTGGGTTCTTGTGATCCTTGGGTGATGAAAAACAATGTGACATAGAGTTGATCACAATTAACCAAACCGCCTTAGCATTGCAAGACAAACTTTAGCCGAGAACTCTACACTTTTAAGGCGGAAGCACATCTTGAAATTAGTACTTGCCCTCTGTGGTCCACGGTTAACAGGTGGTCACCGGTTGGCACCGATTTCGTTTCGAACATGACAGTTTGTGTGATCAAAACAACTTGTGTAGAGCAATGAGTTTGGCGGTACTCGTCAAACATGGGCTCTCAGGGTAAATTAATTTACTTAAAACGACAGAACATATGCTTTGCGCTGTTTCCGCTCATGTTTCTCGAACTCTACAGCCTTGTCTTTGAAGTAGCAGAGTTTATCCGAGGGCTGCAGGGAAGCAGCCATTCCTATGGCCAAGCAGAGAGCACAAAGTCGTCACGCCACTTTGTTTACTCGCGGTAGTCCCCAAGATCCCGCCTGAACCTCTCCTCCAATCGGAGCTCGGTGCCGTGGCGTCACGGCAGCCGCCTGCACGAAAGAGCAGACGACTTGCTTGCCGTACGGAAACTACAAGTTTGGGAAAAGTACTAGCAGGAAAACTACCTGGTCGTGAATGAAAAAGCACCAGTGTCCGGCGTTTTTCAAGTTTTTACAATTAATTGTGTACGTCGGACATGCATGGTTATTAGAGATGGCCCAGGATGTCAGAAAAAGAAAACATACAACACAAAACTCTGCACCCTTTGCCGATTTATGTGAGGAAACAATGTGTCGCAGCAAAGCATGCATTATATTCAAAGAGTAAGACTTCACCATTTTCACTTCCTTTAGCGTGGGCCCACAATCGGGCTCAAATCTTTTGCCGATATGCGTCCCTTCACTACTCTTCAATCAATATCATGAAAATAATCAAATCCCTAATGACGAGCCAAAGTTCTGAAGATTCAATAGGCATTTGTTCTTTGACAAACGCGGCCGTCAGATGCTTCGTTGGTTAATGTGGCCATTCGGCACTGCAAAGCAACAGCATGCTTACATGGGATTAAAAAATATGAAAGGACAAAGCAGAACACACAGCTAAATACTATACATGGTGTGGTATAAATGTGCTATGGCAAAACATATTAGCATGTCTTTGTCAGCGGGCATTGCTGGTTGTCGTTATTGTTTATCGATGACATGCGTCTCTAAGAAACTTGACTAAGCACACCCGGCATATCTCCAAGGAAATTCGCGACTCCAGCGACCTATAGGGACGCCACTATCGGGCAAATATGGCGGTCGAATCCAGGTCCTGCCGTGCCATGTGCCAGCTCAACGCACAATGCTGCAGCACCAGCAAGCAAGCATTTGACTCAAAATGGCTTGCCTCGCGTCTTATCATCCATTATTTCGAACCTGTGGTGATGTGGTTGGGTAAGCGAACTTCCAGAGGCCTGACTTTCTTCGAGGAAACTAGGAAAGGACTGCCACCTGTCCTACAACGGTGCTGATGAACGTTTATAAACACAGAATGTCTTTCTCACACGGTTCCATAGGTCGCGTGCAGAGCAACCTGGGTCACTAGGCGATACTCTGGTTACGACAGAGTCATTGGTAGAACTGTTCTGTCGCGCAAACCATCGACAACATGTAATCACGGAAGCCACAAGAGACGAGCAGAAATCGCGAAAGCACCTGTTCCGGCCAGCTCAGTGTTTTCCCGCTAGGTGCCGTTCGTTTTGCTGGACTCGCGAATTTGTCGGATACAGTTCACCTGTCTTTATACACAGTTTCAAGCGCGTACACACACACAAAGAAACATTGCATGACTGGGTACAGCATGCACATTCTGCATGATCCAGTATCGGAACCTAATATTCTGAGTGATCTTAAATAGGTATGTATATGAATCTGGCACTCCCTCTGTCTGTGTCCATTTGTCGCGTAAATGGGTGTAGATTGCCAAAAGTTGTTGCTCATCTTTATGTAGCTCATTTCATATGCGTTTAAAATGTTTCATGCGCTAGTGAAGGAGTGAGTACGGGATCAACCATACCATGTGCACCACTCATTTCGTCCTCTTGCTCGTCCAGGCTGCGGCTCGCCTCCAGCTTCCAACCCCATCGTTCCTGCTCAGTTGTGACAACCCTGTTTTGGTGCGCGACTTCAACGACTGTCATGGTGAAGCAGGCCAATAACAGGAGTGTGCGGCCTATCGGCCACCGATCTGTACCAACCAGACTGTACAGACCACCGATTTCTTCTCCTTGCATGTTCAGGTTGGTCCAATACTCTCATAAAATTGTAAAGAAGCAACATGCGTTTACTGGTGTTCCCACACCTAGAAGTGCCTTGTAAAACTGTTTGGGACTGTTGATATGGTAATCTTCCTCCTATCCGGTAACATTAAGATTATACCGGTCCGATGAATGAACAACTCAGACAGTTCAATAAGATGCACAAGACGCTGGTAGAGGTTGATACACACGCGCTTAAAATAGATCGGGCTGAATCAGGAATACTGGCATCACTAAACAAGAAATAACAATCTCAAGGGCTTATTCAAACTGCCATGACAGATATTATTGCTATATTGGCCGTGCCTGAAAGTAGAACTACTGCTCTGGTTGGAGAAGTTTGCATGACTGGAAGATTGGTAGAAGTAGTCCAACAAGAAGATTGGGCCCTGCGAGCACATCTAAATGAGGATGACGATCACTGTCGCTGTGGCGACCTAATCTTTTTATGGGATATCTGACCACTTATCTGAAAGTGTGGCACAAACAGAGGAGGTAATTTTGGACATATTAAGGTAGTTATTGAATCTTCAAGTAACTCATGGAGCTATTATTCGGGCCCATGAGATGGGTAGTGAGTGATGTTCAGTTATCACCAAATGGGCAACATACACACTAAAAGTCCAAATTCTTCTGCCCAGGTCATCATTTAGATCTAGCCCCAGCACCGTGTGTGAGGACCTCTCAATTGAAACATGTCATGCATGAAAAAAAACTGATAGGATTTGCCAAAGAATAAAATGTCACTTTCAAGCTTCGATACAGTAGCATGTGCATTAACAATAAATACTGTGTGTACAATCCCGTTAATGACAATGTGCTTGAAACAGGTCCCTCAGCCTTGATTTCCGAAACCCAGAGTTTGTTTTGTGCTGGGGATCCACCTGGAATATCGAATTTGGAATAGCAGGCAGAGAGGGGAAGAGTATGCCATCCTCTTGTCTCAGATGTATCGGGGCTTCTTACTAATAATAGAAGCATTATTAAAAGGTGAATGGACTTGCGTTTCATTATTGACTATATATGCAAGTGGGTGTTATTGTCTTAACTTAAACTTGGCTATCTGTACAGAAGTGTGTAACTGTGAACTTTTTGGTGGGCCTAAGGAATCTCTCTATGACCACCGTTCCTTGTAAACTCCTTGAGCATGTTATCTTGTTCTCACAATGGGGGCAGGGGGATCTAGTCCCCCTGAGAAATTTGAGGTATTTATAGCAAATAACTTCAAAGGCCAGGCATGTGTTTGTCACCTGGAGCGTAATTTTGAAATGGGTCCAGTACTGCAGAAAAAAATGAAGTAATACGGAGGTTGTTTCTAATCACCAGGAAGATTAACTCTAAACTTTGGAGAGCAGACATATGATCTTGGCTGGTGCCCATAGCTTGGTGTTCGTTCAAAAGCAATGAAAAAGTTTTTGCGGCACCTCAACCTATGTATACACGAACTCAACCCCGTTACGTCACGGCGCTTCGGGCGCACTTGTCTGGGGCTGTAGGCAGAAGACCGCATGTGTGATGTATATTCCTGCGTTGTTTTGAAAGGGACCGGGCAAAAACCTGCCTTCTCATAAAAATGCCGTGACTGGGGCTGTACCAAAAGAGTCGAGAAAGTTTGGAAGGTCAGTGTTCATGTGCTCGGTTCGTCCGAGAATCTGGGTATGTGCCTTGAAAGGGCAAAACCAGACGCCGTCGGACCACGATTGCTTGGGCAGGGAGCACTTTGGGTTGAATTCTCGGATACTTGGGTCATCCGATTCATTTGCTTTGTTCCAACATGAACGCCGGAAAACCGTGAGGTTGTACAGGACCACCTTCCGACAACAATCAGTGCGTCTTCACGTTGAAACGGCCGCCTGATCGTTCAGACTGTCGTCTACTCTTACAAACGTTTCTGCTTGTCGTCTGCTCTTTTAGACGACACCGGCTCATTGAACAAACGTTGGGCCGATACTTGCGATAAGAAGTAGGTGCAGGCCTCAAAAAAAGACTTAGGTTTGAAGATTGGTAAGCAGGCTCTATGTAAACAGTAGATGCAAGGAGATGTTGATCATTGTTACCAGTGGCCACCACCGACTTGTTATGCCTGATTCACTTGGTCCAATTCTGCTTGCTATTTTCAGTATCGACGTCGACCATCTCGGCTACGGTTCACGCTTTTGCAGCCCGAGCGGCGTCGCGACTGAAAATTGCGAGCGAAATCTCATCATGCGAATCAGGCTTTAGCGTACATTCTGCGGCGTCCACGCGTAATGAATCGCCGCATGTCATATTATTCACGCAAAGTTTTGTGGTGTAACTAGCCTCGATAATTTCGCTGAGGCTGCTCAAGAAAGTCAGACATTGCCAGGAAGACGTAGAATCAACAATTTGAACGCGAGAAAGGGCAGGGGGACTCACACCGACGCCTACAACATCGCATTTCAATGGTTTGTTTATGGGCGACGGAGAGCTTCTTGCCCACACTCCATTGCGCATGCACGGCGCCGGTGGCTTCCGCTAGGGCCACTCCGGTTTGTTTCTAAACATGAGTTGGTGTTTGAGCAGCCGGAGGCATGCAAATAATGCTACCATGTTTTGTAAATAAGTAAACCTGGCACAAGGCTTAAAACCATAATCAATCATTATGTTCAAGGCATCAATGACCTCGCAATGAAAACAAATACTGCTGCACCCTTTCACTCTATATGGGCAACAATAAGGAAGAAAAGTGCCGTAGCATATAGAAGAAATGGGCCGCCAACACGGATATTCATGTCAATGTCTTCTGAGAATTGGGATTTGAAGGTGGTGCTAAAAGAAAAAGGCTTTTAGGGCTGGGCTTTTGAGGTCGGGTGCTTTCGTGCACCACTCCGACAGAATATCTGGTGTAACCCTCTGCGGGAAAGTTTGAGGACTAATGCGAAGGTGTGCAAGTGCTTGGCATTTTACTCTTTACCATTGGACAGTATTTTTTATTTAAGCCTCACATGCCCCATTGTAGCTTCATTCTGTATTAAAAACTCCAACAGAAATACTGAAAAAAAAATACTGTAAACGACTTAATTTTCGCGAATCATCTGCGACTAACGAAAAATAGGTCCCATGAACAATTCCAGTAAAATGTAAACATATTGGAAACTATATTGAGATCCTACCGCATCGCGAAAATTAGAGCCCGCAAACTATTCCAAAACTTCAGCTTTAACCTAAATCGCGAAATATTGAGCCCGCGAAAAATATGTCGTCTGCAGTATATCTGAGGTTGCCAATAAATGCACAAAACATCAAAGTAGCGATTAATATACCTCTATAGCTATTTTGTATTTGCCAGCTTCATGTGCACTCATAATTTGTTATGTCACAATAGTTTCTTGTTGTTAAGATATTTATTTACCACTTCCTTACTTTTTCAGTGGGCGAATCTCGAAAACCAGGTGCCACCGGGTGTGGATACTTGGGACAACATTGGAACAGTGAACCTGAAACACCTCTGCAGGAATCGGTGCATGAAGCAGTTTGTGATATTTGGGAACTTCAAAAGCCACATTGTTGATACTTGGCAGACGGTTAGCAAGGTGGGTGTGCATGGCATGAAACAAAGTGTGTTTTCTGTATATATCGGATGTCAAGGGGATCAATAGAGGTGTTGAGTTCAAAACTTTCTGCGAACAATTTGATTTTATAAATCCTGATATATATAGGGTCTTGGGTGGCCAAAGGCATGGTAGCACTTTTTAGATGAGGACAAAAGAAGGAAAGACAAGACAGGCACGAGCTCTTTTGTCCACGTCTAAAAAGCGCTACCATGCCTGTGGCAACCCAAGACCAATACCAACTAGCCATTCAACATTGATATATAGGGTGGCATGAATAGAGTTGTTGACTGTAAATTGTGTCAGAAAAATTGATAGCTGCACGTGCGCAGCTGAAAGTTTTGTTAATGGTGTATTTTCACAGTGCACGCTAACTTGTCAGATTTCAAAGCGGAGCTTCGTTTCTGTGAGAAATTAGAACAACATTTGTCTAAATTAAGATGACGAATGCTGATGCGGAGAAACAAGCCACAGCGAGAGCCACATTTGCTTTATTGACGAGAGATGGCGCGGCGCAATTCATCTTGGAGAGTGCTCTTGTTCCCACCGATTTCGTCTGCGTGGCGTCTGCTTTATTTCAGCAATCGCCTATACTTCTCTTTATTTGTGTTAAATCTCACTGTGCACACTTCATATACAACACAGGCAGAAAGACGAATCAAATGAATTTTACTGAATGTGGCCATCACGGCTAATGGCCCCAGTGGCTCAGATTCGAAGCGCTGGCCTATGGATCCCCAGTTGACGGTTTAGAATGCCGGCCGAGGTTCCCACCATATTACTGATGCGTATTGTGAAAAGGGCACCGTGTAATTCAGACTTGTGCTGCAGGTGTCTTTTGTTGGTGTGGCACGTAAACCCCCCAATTTTGTTTTTTTGCATCACGGCTTGTCGCCAAATCTTCAACAGTTGTGCCATCTCATGTTAGCAGTAGCAAGCACGGCTCTCGCTGTTCGTCTGCATCAGCGTCCGTCGTAGAAATTGTGGGCACCCTGGCGGCTTCCCAGTCCAGTCCAGTTGCCCGACTACGGGCCACAGGTGGCAGACTTTCCCGCAGGGCGGTGGAGTCAAGCCGGCCACGCGCACATCGCGCGCACCGCCTTGATAAGGCGGATCAGAGGTAGTGCACAGGCAGTCGCTGACCAGACTTAAGCGCCCCGGTAACGATGTTAGTGTATTGACCAGCTCAATCATGTCCAATTAAATGTATTTTTTTGTTGGAGCCATTCGCTCTGTGTTATTCGTCCGGGTCGAGTATGCAGCAAGCAAACCGACCATAAAATTTACAGAAATATTCTAATTTCTTACAGAAATGGAGCTTCACTTTGAAATTTGACAAGGTAGCATGCACCACCAAGAGTATTGACCGAAGTTTGAGGTATGTACTTGCAGGTTCCAATTTTTCTGGCTCAGTTTACTGCCTGCACTCTATGTATGCCACCTTATACCTTTGCGTATAGCGGCAGCAATTTTGCAGTTCACCCTCATTGGAGTGCAACTCGTATTCTCAAGGCACTGATGCACATCTGGAAGAATCATCCTGCTTCAGGGTTTAAACCCATGACCTCTCCACTACTAGCATGGTATTTCCATTAGCAAAGTTATGAAAAGGTCCTGGGTTTAAACCTTGCAGCAGGCAGATTTTTATGTGTATGGCACTTTTTCTTCAAAATGGTATTTTTGGGCATCAAAATTTACCCCTTAACGTTGTGACCAAATGAGCACTTCCCACGACATTGGTAGTTTTAATGACAGCCTTTTGAGTCTAAAAGAAAAACAGCAAAAACCAGAGACCCCCTGTTTGCGGTAACAGTGTCACGCTCTGCAAACCAGTGCCTAGAGGGTGCTAGTTGTACTTTACTCAGGGGAAGTGTAAAATTATCCCATCATGCTTCTACCCCACTTCTGACATTTTTAGACAATCTTTAAGTTTTTTTTATCAGCCTTAAGGCCTGTTCACACATGCAGCGGAGCGCTACAAGCATAGCGCTGACCTCGCGCTAAGCACGTGCCGACGGGAGCGTTCACCAGTTTTGTATCGCACCGTCAAAACTGTTGCTCAGGCCAGACGATAAGTACCTGACGGCACGTGAGCAGCGCTACATCAGCGCTTCGCTGCATGTGAGAACCGGCCTTTATAGGAAAGCCTAAAAACTGTACAGAGGCATGTTAACTTTTAGAGGTTTTTTTTTTTATATGCTAGGAGGGCTTTGTACGGCACTGGGGTGAATTCGGAAGGTATCGGTGGCAATTTTGGAAGGCTCTCAGATCTATCGATTGTAAATGATTTGTTTGCCTGCAGATCAAACCATGGCACTGCCCTACGGTTGGAAATGTGAACAGTTGCTTGCTGAGGGAGAACTTCGAGCTTTTCTATAGCTGGCTTGCCAAGCAGCTGCTGGTATGTTGGGGTCTCGGATGATGTAAACTTTCTCTAACTCGCTGCAGTTTTTGATTGAAAAATTCAGTTTTGTGCCTCCCAGAACCTGAAGTGACCTTCTGTTGGGTTCCTAACACCGGCTTCTAGAGTCTTAAAATGGTCTTCGGGAATCCCTGTCTCAACTGCGCCAATGTCTATCTTGAATAGTACCGGAGTCAGTTCTGAACAAGTATTATTGGCTGCAACTTTGAAGCTTGGGAGTTCGAGGCCATGCCAAGGAATCCTGGCTCTTGCTTACCATTGGTTCTTGTGGCTAGATTTGAGGCAGTCATTTTATGTCCTTTTGAGCACAGTCCTTCCTCTTCTTTAGTCGCATTCCTGAGAGAAGACTTCAACCAATGAACTGCTATAAATTGTTTTCTTTTTTAACAACCTTGGCACACCACATCTTTTGCTAGACAACTCGACCGAGGGTGTACTTCATAATGTAGTGATTGCGCAGGCGAGCTGGTGGATGTTAACCATTTTGTTCTTAGCCCGAGACTGAGGCAGGAAAAGAGGAAAGTTTCAAAGTAGAAGAAAAATGAACAGTCGAGGACACGTCTCTATAGAGACGTGTTTTTCATTTTTCTTTTACTTTGAAACTTTCCTCTTTTCCTGCCTCAGTCTCGGGCTAAGTACAAAATGGTGTACTTCATGTTAGCACGAGGTATTGAATCATTATGAATCTTTGGCGTCATGTTGGTGATGTTTGACAAGGTCATATCTCAAGCGACCGCAGCCTTTTATAGTGCAGTACTTTTTCTTCTGATATGGACCTCATGTACAGATTCTGTACTTTGCCGCAGCTCTAGCTCTTTCTGCTGTTGTCGGACTGTCTCCTGCTGACAGGCATTCGTAAGTGCTTCCATTGACCAGTGACAAGTGCAGTTGTAGTAGGTTTTTTTTAAACCATTCAGTTTTCCAGGCCGATACACAAGCAGTCTTTGATGAGTTCTTCTCTCATTTCACCGAAGTTGCCTGTATCGGCTAAAATGTGCCTTGGAAAGAAGTAGGCTTTGTAGTGCACTAGTGTGACTTCAATCTTCTTGGAGCTTTCGGGGTTTAGACTGTGTCTCAGCTGAGCCTAAGTGAAAGAAAGCACAGCGAAGGCTACCACACGAGCAAAGTAGAACGCAAAGTTGACACTCAGGCGCTTCTGCACCCCAGGCTTGTTGGGCTTTCTTTCACCCAGTCTCAGCTGTGAGGTTCATTCAAGAAAGCCGGCCCTGGACATAAGCTTACCGGCCATAAACTTGTCTGATGGTTGCTGAGGTTTTATGGGACTGTGAACTAGAAGGACTGACCAGCAGATTCCAATGATGTGATTGGCCTAAGCTGTTTTGGAGCACCTTTCAGAGCAGCCAAAACAGTGTTTTGGAGCAGCTAAAGTGGACTTTGGAGCAGCCAAAACAGTGTTTTGGAGCAGCTAAAACAGTGTTTCAGAGCAGCAAAACTGGCTTTTGGTGCATACATTCTTAGAAAAATAAAAATATTTGTTTTAAGTGCTGGACAAACAAAGAACACTTTGCTCGCCGCAGTAAACAATTTATAGTCAAGGTAAACCACCTGGGAGTCTTTCAACATATAACTGAAAGGCCAATGACATGACACATTTTGCAATGCTTCAGTTAAATTATACATATATATATATATATATACCCGCTATAGGTAAATAAAAACCAAACTGCTCATATTAAAATTTATTTGAAAATGACCAACTTAGTAGTAAATATCACACCATTAGGTTGTCTAGTTATGTAATAAATGGAAGCAGTCTCTAACTGTTGATACACGTGACCACTGCAGTGCAGTGCAAAATTGTCGGGCGAGAGGAGATTGCTGTTCGATCGAAACCATGCCAGTCCACTACGTCGCCAACTGGTTCCCAAAATTGTAAACAAAATGTAACTGTCCAGCATACAAAAAAAAAAAAAAAAAAAAAGTCCATTCGCACATGCTTGTTGATTGGCTAGCGAGGTACAAGCTAAACACAGCAAAAAAAGAATACGAGTGCATCGATGCAAGACATCACGAGCGAGGGTTAAGAAGTTCTTGAAGCGCTTGGTGTAACGACTGATCTTAAGAGAAACAAGCGTGTTGTCCGGGTTCAGAGTGCAGACATTGCCTTCTTTGCTTTAGCTCACTTCTCTTCACCAAGTCCCTTTCGCGGCAGATTTTTTACGTACCCGAGTCCCCCTCGAAAGAAAGCCTACCAAGAGAAACCTTGGTAATCAGTGCTTCGACACAGCAGTCTTTGAGCTTGAGGGATTTTTCGAGCAGCATATTGAACAAGAACAGGAATGTTGATGAATATTAGGGCGGTCCTTACGTTTCAGTTTAGAAAGCGCCATATGTGTAGCGACTTCGGGACGGCAACACCCAACGTCGCGCGACCATGGCGACTGGCAAGCAGGGACCAAATATAGTTTTCCCACAGCCGTTGCTTTCAGGAGCAAGTGCTTCAGCTCACAATGTAACTCCCGCCACGCAAAAACGTGATTTCGTTTCACAGCATGATGGCATGGATGGTACCCAGCACCCGAGCGTCGGGGCGTCCGCAGATGCCCGCCTCTATCGTCGAAAAAGTTTTAAAAAAAAGATGCGAGACAATGAGAGCGCAAAACGCAAGACTGTGGTAAAAACCATGCAAGATCGGATGAACGATTGATGAAGGGTACTTTGTGTCAGGCGGCCGCTTGCGCCACCTAGCTATGTGTGCCCATTATGGTACTCAATATAGTTTCGGTTTTGAAAGTCCTTCGGTGCAGGCTTGTTACAGATTACCCATATTTTTGCAAAATGTAGCAGGATGTAGCAGGGTTAGCCCCATGGTGCAGTTTGGCGCAATTGGCGCAGCAATCACATCACGGAGATTCCGTAATCTTCAGCTTTGTATTTATAGCTGTCATCAGGGTTTTCCCCAAAAATATATGAGAGGTGGACATCGAAAGGGAGGGGGACTGAGAGGAAGGGGCTCTAAAGCGCACTTAAAAACAATGCGCAGTATTTTCGCGCTTTCTTGGTCACACTGTGCCCTCGTAGCAATGATGCCAAATGCAGGCATCAGCTTGATAAGCATGGTGCTGCGAGATTCGCTCGATGTGGATGCTCCAAAGCACTATACGCTTCAAAGACTGCATCTTTTTGTTTATCTACGGCAGAATATAGAGTTCGCTGCTACATCACATTTGGGCTAGTGGGCGGCAGACCCACCACCGCCTACTGTGGCGAAAACGAAACCCTGACTGTTATTAAACACGAAGCTAGCTCAGAAATATTGGCTGGTGTCGCAGCAATGCTTTGCTGTGCTCCGTTTATCCTAAAGCTGACAGTGCAGTGTATGCTGCGCTCACGCCGGACCAATTCATGGCCTGGCTTTTATCACTTGACCTCGTTCTCCGCTCGTGAGTACGTGAAGGGAGAGGGGAGGTGTGTCCATGAGCTGCAAGGTCGACAGTTGACTGGTCCAATGGGTATGCAGCTTCCACCACACCATCAACCGGGAAGTAAACGGCGTATAGCGGTTGCAAGTGGTTGTAATGCAATGTAACACAAATGTATAACCAGCCGTATGTTCCACAGAGAAGTCAGCTCTCTCTCTCGTATACCACTGTAGCGATGATTGAATACAATGTCTATTTAGCAGCTTATTAGATCTTCGCTCACTCCTCTACAATTTTTACTTGATATTGGTACACCTTTTTCAGAACATGCAAGTAGAAAGAACAAAAAGTGTTTTTTACTCTATAGTTTGCATTATTCATCTTTTAGAAAATTGTTCACCAACCTTTGTCAGAAACTATGTATCACTGCACCTTTACTGCTCTGGAGAGATTGTTCTTCCCTGCTTGATATTTCATGGTTTTGTTATTTGGAAATCACAATATAACAATATGTAGTAGCTGGTCAAACCAAGAAGGAAGTAATAAACTTATATAATGCATGTTAATAGGTCAAGTACTGTCCATTTTCACAAATATTTCGAGAAGTAAATAGACAAATACATAATGCCAGTCATTGGAGATTTCTTGACAGTTTGTGTTTGTGCCACTACTTGCTCTGGCTTAGGACTTGCAACTTCCGCACATTTTTTTTAGAGGCTGCAGCGTCTTGGATAGCCTCATTTTGGTTCCGGCAGTAGTTAGCAAGGAAAGTGTTAGCTGACACACTCAAGATGTGCGTCATCACAACCTTGGGGTCATGTCCAAAGTCACACACATCCAGGTCATCATACTTGGTCAGCATCTCCCTAGTGACAGACATAAGCAGTCCCTTCTGGTTTCGAACTGCAAAGAACTGTGCTGCATTCTCCTTGTCTGTGAGCTTTTCCAGCACTAGCTGTGTGTGGAGCACGGCATTCACGACTACGGCTTGGGGAAATTTCAGCCCTCCCCGGGAGATTCCTTTGATGAGGCTTGCATCGTCGAGCTCAATGCTTCTTTCTTCCAGGGTGAGGTTTTCTTCGCAAGCATCGCAACCAAGTTTTTTTAGGACTGCATGGGCACAGTAGCCTGCAATATAGGTAATCGCAGGCATCTGATCATGTTTGGCAGCGATGTCAGTAGCATCTACTGTGATGCTGAACTGGTTGCGTTCCTCCTGTGTCACCTCTTCGTGTGTTGCTTGTTCTTGTGCCCTGCCAAGTAACTCTGTGGCGGGCACCAGTGGTAGCATCTTTTGCAGCCTGATCTTCGTCTCCGACTCGTACAACTGGCGGATGGAAATGTGGTATTGTGTCCCGCAAGCCTCCTGTACTTTCCAAATCTGGCTTCCAGAGAGTCTGTTTGAAATTTGCCGAGCAGAACATAGCTGAAACCAAGCTCCCTGAGGCAGTAGATGGACACCTTTACCAGGGTGGAGCAAGTCAGTCTGAGCGCTTTATGTGTCTCATTGGTCAGTCTCCCACTGTCTGTGTCCATTGCTTCCCAGGTGTCGAGCCACTGGACCATGTCACTGAGGAACTTGAGCTTCGGATCTGCCACAGAGCTGACAGGCTCCTGCATTGGATCTCGCAGCCTCTGCCCTTTCAAGGGGGTCTTCACATTCGCCACTTTCCACCACCTCACAATCAGCTCGATGAAGTCAGCCGTTTCCAGGACGTGCTGGATGCCGAGGTCGTGGCCAAGTGTCCTTAAAGCTTGCACGACGTGGTCATTGAAGATTTTCAAGACCAACCTCACATTTTGGCGCTCCAGACTTGATGGATGTAGCGCCTTGGCACTGAGTCCGTAGCCAAACTTAGCCAGTTGGTCAGTCTTGTGAAGCTGTAACTCCCTCAAGGCATCAAATGAAGCTTGTTGTTGTGATGTGGCAGGAGTCGCCGTTTCGATGCTTTCGAAGCTTGGGAATGCGAAGCACTTTCCAGGAGTTCCTTGGCTCAGCCAGTTGTTGCGAATGCATTTCAACAAGTGTACAGGGTCCACAATGAAAAAGAGGGGCCTGTCTGTGTCTGCTGGGTGGCTGTAGACCATATCGAATTTGGCGTGGGTGGCGAATTGTGACATCATCTTGCGGTTGATGGCATTATTGTCGGTTACGACGGCGATGATCTTGAATCCTAGTGCCTCTAGCCTTAGAATAATTTTCTTCACGAAGCAGTGCAGCTGTTGGGCATCTATCTGGCACACAGGGAGGACATGTACGACATCTTTGTTGGATGACAACAGGCTCTGTATCATGAACACATGTGCTGTTCGTGCTGCTTTGCATGAGTTGGCAGAGCTGCCTTGGACATTTCCTCCCTTATAATCGATGTAAGGTTTTAAATGTACTTCATCCAACATGAGGGTGGCAACTTTTTCGTGATCCTCAAGGTG